ACGTTTTCCCATGGTTTCTGAGCTTCACAGAGAATGTTGAGCTTTACTGAACATGCACTGGGGGGGTTCATAATAAATTGTGGGAGAAGGGAGGGACTTCCCCCTCTGAACAAAATGTATGTTGTGATGGTCCTTTGATGCTTTTGATTAAAGATATAATAAAAAGTAAAAATAAGTGAGATACAACATGGCAGAGTGGGTAGAGGGTCAGCAATGGAGTCAGATGTGGATTCAAGCCCTGCCTCTGACACATTGACCTGGAACCTTTGAACAAGTCACTTAACCTCTAAATGCCTAAAGCTGCAAGAGCAGGTGTAGATCTGCAATGATGATAGGAATTTCTGCACCAGGCTCTCTTTATATTACTGAAATCATAGGTCCAATCTAAAAAGGAAAAAAAAAAGCCTGATACATATATTATCCTTTAAGGTTTGCAGAACCCTTTGCATACAATATCTCATTAGATCCTCACAATGATCCTGCAAGGTAGGTGCTATTATTATCCCTGTTTTATACAGATGAGGCACAGAGAGGTTAAATGACTTGCTCAGGATCACATGGCTAGGCAAGGTAGTGTCTGAAGAAGGGCTCAAACTCTTGGCTTTCTGATTCCAAGCCCAGAAGTCAGTCCACTATTCCCTAAATTCTTAAGTATTTGTTTATGGAAAATATAGGAGAGAGTTAGCTTTAATTTAGTAAACGATCATTTTTCAAATTGAGAGCTAAATCTCCATGGGGAAGGGAACAAATTGAAGATTATAGGGCTGAACTGAATTTATGTTTGGTTGATATTTCCTCCTATTTCTTAACATTACTGTAGGTACCTTTAATGTACTTTAGCTGTGTAGGTTTGCTTTGTCAGGCAGTAGTTTCCCGATTATTTGGTTAAGAATGTGTTTGTGCTCTTGAAATGGATGTCTTTTTGGTGAAGATGAATCTTTTTTCAGCCTTATAATGTGAACGCTATTTAGCTACACCCAAGCTGTCATGGCTGTGTCAGCAGAAATGTATGTAAATTCCTAGAATCTCAAGGATGACTAATGGATTACACTATAGGAGAGAGAATGTCAAGATGTTTCTTTTCCTCCAGAGACATAATAAAGTATCTGTACTGATGCCAATTCCATGCAGTAGACATGGAGCATTTCCATTGAAATCTAATATTCACCAAATTTCTCTTATAAATGCATGGAGTAAAGAAACCACTCCTAGCCCCAACAAAATGAAAATAAATACCTTAGACAATTGTTTTTTCTAAATAACCTTCAGGCTGGGACTCAAACATTCCCAAGAGTTTCTCATTTTGTGTGAAAAATGATTTTACATTCTTTTTTGAATTTTCAGACCTTTGCCTTTTTGCCACTGCTTAGCAACTTCCTCTGAGTGTGCTGGGAAAAGGGCAGAAGGGATTTCTCCTAATTGTTCCCCACCCCAGGAGCAGGTGATGGTGACTTTTGTCAGAAGAAGAATTTGGTGGAGGTAGATGCATGCTAGCATACAACCTAAGAGGAGAGTGACTGAGAGGGGACTTTTCCAGCCCAAGAGATAATAATAGATTTTTTCGCAGAAGCACACATGTGCAGGCCCACTCATCTATGGAATTCGTGGACACTGTTCATTGATATGAGCCTCCTGTGTAGAGGCAGGGGAATTTCCATCACCTAGGTGGTATTATCTCAGAATAGAGATTTGCTGGGCAGCACCAGCCTTGGAGTTGCTTCATGGATGACCCCATGCAAGGTTGTAGACCTGGTCTTCTAGAGAGAGAGAAATGGATATCCTGGGCAGTATACTTAGAAAGAAGATTACTCATGTGACCTCTGTAGTTGGAAGAGTGAAAAAGGAACCCATGATTTGGAGAAGCAAGGGACCTTGATCTTGCTGCCCCTCCTATTACAGTGATTTGTATAGAGCAAGTGTGCCAGGCAGGGGTATTACTTGTTCAAAAGCTCCAAAAATATGGTTGTCTTCTGAAGGAGTTTATGGGCTATTTGAGTGCTTTATATATTTTCTGTGTCTGCTTAAGAGCTCCTAGAGTCCTTTGGGGGCTTTATATGTTTTGGTATCTGTTTATGGGCTCCTGTGAATCCTCTGTATCTTTTGTACTTTCTATGGGGTTAAATGAAAGCCATCCCATTCTTCGGGAAAAAAAAATCAAATGGCTTTGTACATCTTTTGCTTCTCCAAAAAAAAGGGTGGTTTACCACATATTCAGAGAGTTGCTGGGGTCAGAGAAAACTAAGTGGTGGCACCTATGGTGGGTGACTGATCTCTGGACAGAGGGTACAATGTGAATTATGCCTGTGAAATCTGGATGGTATTCTAGCACCATGCCAGGAAACCAAATTGTTTCCATTTGAATTATCTTAGGAAGATTCTGAAGATCACCTGGTAGGATAAGGTACCAGACACTGAGGTCCTTTCTCAAATGAAACTGCCAAGCATTCAAACTCTACTGCAGAGAGTGCAACTCTAATGGGCTGGCCATGCTGTTCGAATGCCAAACGCAGGCTTGCCTAAAATATTATTTTACAGAGAACTCACACAAGGCAAGCATTCACATGGTGGTCAGAAAAAGCGATACAAGGACACTCTCAAGGTCTCTCTTAAGAACTTTGGAATTGACTATGTGACATGGGAGACATTGGCACAGGACTGCCCAGCATGGTGTGCCCACATCAGAGAAGAACTGAAGTAGCTCCAAAGAAACACAAGATGCACAAATTTAGAGAATCCACCCCAAATGTTCACATGGACTATCTGTGCCCAACTTGTGGTAGAGCATTCTGAGCTCATATTGGTCTGATCAGCTACAGTCGGACACACTGTAACCTGACTCTCACATAGTGATGTATTTTGGTCTTCTTTGAGAACAAAGGACCACCATATATAGAATTTGACACCCTAAACTGGTTGAAGGGTTTGGTGATCTGGGTGTACTAGGTGAAAACCATTTATATGTTAATTTTGTAAACTTCTAGTTTAGACACGAGGCTGTTTGGTACGGTGGAAAGAGCAACAGCTCTGAAATGAGGGTTCAAATCCTATCTCTGATGCTTACTACTCCTGTGACTTTGGCCAAGTCATTTAATCTTCCTGGGCCCTAAACGAGGGATTTGGAGATGACCTTAGAGGTCCTTTCTAGCTCTAGGTCTATTCTGTTATGACATTTCCGAGACTGGAGATGCTTGACGCATTCTAGAATGGGAGGAAACAGTCAATTTCTAGAAAGGCTTAGTATCTCCCTAGGTAATCTGTCATGTCTCTTGCCATAGACAGAAATTTCACTATCAAGTTGCCATTTCCAAACTCTCTTACACATTTGAGTCTTTCAAAAGAACAGCTGTTTGGAGCACAGAACCCCCACTGCCACTATTCTCCAAGCTCTCTAAAGTCACTTTACTACCTAGTTGTAAATGTAAGTTATGAGATAATCTTTGGCTGGGGCCATATGACGCCAGAGCAACCAGTGGAAAAGCAAGTCAGTCAAATCCATTTTGTCTGCTTTATGACAAAGAGTCAGTTTGACTGATTATTTTGAGCTGAATGGATTGGTTTTTGGGGCATCATGGTGGAGTGGCCTTCGTGTGGGGGACAAAATGAGCATGTCTCCATCTTTCTGTTAACAAAGTAGCCACTGAATCGAGTCTTGAACCGTGGGTTGAAAAGTCCGATGCAGTATTTTATGCGCATTTGAAACATATCACAATTTTAACAATTGTTCCCTCTTCCCCTGGTATCTTGGTACTTATTCCTATGCTAGAAGCCAAAGTCATCCGCAATACAAAGCGCCCGAATATACCCCAACATTTTGAGCCCTCAGAGCAATCCCAGCTTAAATTATCAGAAGGATCAAAAGTACTTTGGCTCCAGCGAAGCTAAAATGCACTCCAAGCCAGAATACAACATGCGACCTTCTACTTCAGAGAAATGAACCCACTCACAGGAATAATGTGACTTTCTCTCTCAGATGTTATGGATAGAAATGAGTCACCCCCCAAACCCAAGTAAAATTGAGAGAAGTAAATAACTGAGTCAAAAATTCCCAAAGTGAGTGCAATATTGGGGTCAATTTGGCATGTACTGGCTAAAGAACTGGTGTATCCTTTCAGTGTCACAGAAACAAATGAATTGCAGACCCTCAAACAACCCTAATATTCTTTCAGCATTTTGTACAGTCTTGTCATATTTCTGTGGTTCCGAGTAGGAGACATTCTGATTATTGGGACAAAACTCACAGGCCTTGTGAACACTCACAGACAATAAAAGAATGCTTCAAATTAAAGGCTACAATTTGGTAGAGGACTCTCAGGCCTCCAAGTTTCAAGTCCATCACTCTAAAAACACAGGATTGACTGAGGGGGGGACTAAAAAAAAAGAGGCTTGACATCTTGCATCCTGATTTGAGTTTGTTAAAAAAAAGAAAAAAGAAAAGAGAAAAGAAAAGAAAGAAAAAAGGAGTACCCATAAATCAAGTTGTTAGTTCTCCCAACACCAGATGATTCATAAATATTCAAGATCTCAACTTAGAAACAAGTTTAAAATAGCCCTGGATTATGCCATTGGAAATAACATGACCAAATCATTATAAAGGGTGCTCTTATTCAGCCTTGGAGATCTGGCTACTGTTGAAAGGAGCAGGCTGCTTCCAGGAACTAGCACTCTACTAAGAAGACATTTTGGCTAAAGAACATGCAAGGCTCTTGGTCCCCAGTCATTAAGGCAAGACGTCCATTTACCCATCAATCACAGATAAAAAACTCTGTGGACATGTATGCTGACTACCCAACGTAACCAATTAGGATAACCATTCCTTCATACCATACAAACTCATTTCCTTAAACTGTTACTGCGGTGAACTCCACACTTAACAAATGAGTGGACGCAAACTGATTTGCATGTAATAACGGTGGCAATAAACCTCTCTTGGTTCGTGCAATTTTTCCCATCTGTTAACAGAGTGGAAGTTTCCTATCTATTATTCCCAAAGGGGGACTTACCCAGCTGGACATCAATAAACTTGGCTGATTCTCCCTGGGGAACAATGGCTTGGGAGGTTTGTCTGTGAGTAACGCTGGAAGAGAAAATGAGAGAAAGTAATGGAAAAATGGAGATAAATTACACGAGAAAAAAAGATTCTATCTTGTATAATATTTAATGTTTGTAGACTTGATGGTGTGTAAACATTTATTATACAGTATTCTTCCTTAGGCTGCTACTCCATACATATAATATCAATTTCCCAGCACATTTGGAGCCCTATTGATTCACTGTAAATAGGCCATTTTGACAGCTAAATTTTCTAACAAGATCAAATAAATGAACCCCTTTTGAGTGGTTTTGGTAAGCTTGCAGGGATGAATAAAAAAAAATTAAATATAATATAATACAACAAATCCCATATCCACTCCTTTGCAACTCTAAATAGTCTCAGTAAGATAGAATCTGAAATATGCCAGTTCAGGGAGGTCCTTCTGAACCTTCTAGATTAGGGGTGGAAAACCTTCAGCCTCGAGGCTGCTATGTGTGGCCTCAACAGTTTGAATTCAGTCAAAGGGCTTCATTTGAGGACCTAGCGGGCCACATTCAGCCTCGAGGCCACAGATTCCCCACCCTGGTCTAGACCTTCCACTCCAAGGCCAATATGTACCTTTCAGTAAACAGTTCACTGACCAATCAAAGTCATTTGAATAGGTAGGCCCTGTGTTTGTGGCAAGTCAAGTACTATGTTAGACTCTGTGTTGGGCTTCATGCTGGGACTTGAGAGTTAATTAGAAGATATGGACCCAGCTTGCAAACAGATTCTCACAAAGCTGAGGCCAGAAGTTTAAGCCATATACAACAATTAGAGGACTATAGAAGACCCAATATTGGCCGAAAGGCCCTTATCCTCATCCTATCCATCTCTTGTGGGCCAGGCTTAACTCAGGACAATCTGTTAGTTCAGGCACTGCACCGGAGTGAAATGAGACATTCAAGACCATATGATGTTTTATAAAAGGAAGTTCACTTAACGACAGCCTCGAAAGTATATTCAATAAAGAAAGAGTGTTGCTTCAGTTGGACCCAGCTTCCCACAGCTCTGCATTTGCTGTGGTGGCATATCTGGCCAGAGAGGTGTATTAATTTGCAAAGCAGTAGAGCATTCACCAAGACTGAGGAACACTCAACTCCTCATGTGCTGGGTGTTTATGCCTTAGGTCATTGGAAAGATATGTCAATGGCTTGAACCTTACTCCTCTGGACCAATTAAGTCTCAAGGATGGTTCCATTGCCTTTTGAGAGAAAAATCAGCCTATGTCACCAGGACCTTCAGGTTGTCTTTCTAGTAATAGCTATTACTGCTACCACACTGCTACCAATATCCTCAGGGAGAAGGTCCTGAAGATCATCAAGGACATTCAGAATCATAAAATCATTTGGAAGGGTCTAATCTAACTCATACTTGAACAAGAATCCCCTCTTGTTAAAACCAACAAGAAGCCATCCAGACTTTGTCTGAAGTCTTCCCAAGATAGTCCTTCCTCTTTTGGGTAACACTAATTGCTAGGAAGTCTTTCCCAACTCCAATATTAATTTGCCTCTCTGAAATCCCAATCCCATTGCTCCCAATTTTACTTTCTGGAGAAGAACAAAACAAAGTTCAGGAATGCTTTTTGAATCGAATCAGATTACACTGAGGTCTGATCTCGTTTTCACATGATAACTCTTCCAATAGTTGAATCATGTTCTACCTAAGTCTTCAGTTTTCCACTCATTTAACCATGAATGCCTTGGAAGGGAGCCACATTAAAAAGCAACGTCAGGGACTCTGCTGGAAGTCTTACAAAGGAAAAGACAAGGGCTGAGGAACTTCAGGGAGGTTCAATGATCATCTGGTCCCTGTATCAAGAAACAGCACACTCAAGACCTGTTTTAGATTTTAGTGACTGCTCAGTTTCCATGCACAGAAGCCTAATACTCTTTAGAGCTTCAGTTTCCTCAGCAGCTTTCTTCAAGTAACTCATGCTTCCTTTTCCCCAAGTATTAAGGAAATCAAGCAGTTCATTGAGAACTGAGATAAGTACTCCCCGACAGACATTTTGGCAGGTGGCAGTTATTGGAGTATGGATGTGAGAGTATTTTCTACCTGATTCAATTCCTAGTCTTGCCTGTCATAGCTAAGTGGCCATACCAAGGGGCCTATATACTACATTTGTGGGAGCTTATCTAAGATACAAACACACACACACTATATACATATCACTGTATATCTATACACACATACAAACATATATACACATACACATACAAGATACACACATTATATATATATATATATGTATGTGTATTTATATATTTAATATAACAATTAACAGCCGTAACTGTCAATATAAATGGGATATACTTGCCCATAAAATGGAGGATAATAGAAAAATTTGTTAGAAGATGGAGGCCAGCATATGTTGTGTATAAGAAATGTCTAACATAGTTGGAGCATAAAGATCCACACAGTTAAAATGAGGGATTGGAGCAGAGTTCATTCTGTCACAGGTAAAGTAAAAAAAAGGCATTGTTGGCTACGTGTTCTCAGATAATCCATCAAGAGAGACTGACACTGTTAAAAGAAAAGAAAATGTATGTTAACTGTGTATGTGTGTATACATAGTGTGTATATCTTGAATGAGATATCTACGTATATATATATGTCTGTGTATATATATAGTGCGTATATATATAGTGTGTATATATACATATACGTATATGTATACGTATATGTATATATACATATACGTATACATATGCGTATACGTATATGTATATATACATGCATTGGCTGCTCTGCCATTGCAGAGGATCCATTAAAGATTTTTTTTCTTTTTGTATTCTTCCCCTTGGATGTGAATGGACAACATTTTACAATGTAAATTTTCCAGGCCAGATTAATTCATTTTCAAATGCCCATTTTGCTGTTGTGTAAAGTGCCATTAAATTTATCATTATTCACTGGAGTGACATTGTCAGTCAGTTAAAATAACTTGCAAATTGCAGTACTGGCTTAAATCACCACCATGATTATTTATCTATTATAAAATTGGTACACAATAGCAGTACCAAATTCTCATGAAGGACTGCTGATTTGGGGGAGGGAGTTTCCATTGACCACGATTATAAAAATACTGCAAGGACTTGACATTATTCAGTAGTGCGCTAGGTGGCACAGTGGATAGAGCAACCAGCCTGGAGTCAGGAAGACCTGAATTCAAATCTGGCCTCAGATACTTCCTAGCGCTGTGACCCTGAGCAAGTCACTTCACCCTGTTTGCCTCGGTTTCCTCATCTGTAAAATGAGCTGGAGAAGGAAATGGCAAACCACTCCAGTATCTTTGCCAAGAAAACCCCAAGTGGGGTCATGGAGAGTTGGACATGACTGAAATGACTGAACAACAAGTACAATCTAAGGTGTAAGGAGGTAAAGATTGGTCGTGATGGTGACATTATGTAAGCTGGCTGAAACAATGGTACACTCCAGCATCCCCAAGGAGATAAATGTTAATAGCGTTGTTTGCAAACTAGTTATTAAACCCCGTGCTACTCACTGGGAGCTAATGAGAAAGCTGAAAGTCTTCCTGGTGAGAAGAGGAACAACTGTGTACAATATGAGAGGCCTGCTGGCAGAAGAAATGCCACCCTCAGCAATTCATGATTAGGAGACATCCCCTCCTTGATGGAGCCTTGGAGGCCACACCTTTCTCAATAGCTAGTGAATGAGTCTTGGGTAGCAGTTACTCACAAACGGTGGCCTGTCGGTCCAACAACATTACAACAAGGTATTCAGTATGGGAAGCTGCAGTCCTTGTAGGGGCCATGTTCACCAACAAATTAGAAAGCCTTTGATACCTGGCTGGAAAGTGCCACAGCTAGAAGATTGTTACAGGTGAGTATCTGAGAACCCTGGGGACCTTCTCTTGATATCATAAGTACATTAAAGCAGGCTACTGTGAGATTTGAGTGCTTGAATATCTGCAGATGCCTGCAGGCATTCCTGCTTGGTGATCCTGGAAGGGAAGGCCTCTGATTTTGTACTAAGGCTAGAACTTTTGCTACAGATAAGTCATGACTGGAGTATAGTATTTGAAGAGCACTCTGACAACATTAAGCTAACTCAAAAGCCTAGAAAGGCCATAGACAGATGGCAGTATACTTACCATGAATGCACCAATGGCTATGTGGGCAATGGGGATAGCCTCCAAGTTACTCTGAACCTATATAGTCAATACAGGACATAGAGTAAGAGCAGATGGATGGTGCGAGTTTGCTTAGGCAACAGAAAGTGGGTTCTATGACCTCCCTCTAGGCAATACCATTCTGTGTATACTCCAGAAGCCCAAGACTTGTGGACACAGTCCAAGACGGGTCTGTTGTTTATCTGACTACTGGTGTTCAGAGTGTTTTTCTTCAAGAGACAGAGAGACTTGGAGTCATAGGGTGAGACAATTCACCTTGGGGATGATGAACAAGAGAGTATAGAAAAAGAGGCAGTTACATTTTGTATAGCTATGGGCAAGATAGGCACATGCATGCCAAGTGGACTCTCCCTCACTCCAAAAGTCCAATCAACTATTAAATCTTACTATTTCTACATATAAAACATCTCTTACATTAGACTTTTTCTCTTCAATAACACAGTGGGGGGTTGACTAGGTCCTCATCACCTCTACCTTGGATGACTGCAATAGGCTTCTAAATGGTTTTCCTGCCTAAAGTCTCTTCCCACTCAACTCCAAAAGTAATTTTCCTAAAGTGCAAGTTTGGTCATGCCATATTCCCTGTCCCTCCCACTCAATTAACTCCAAAATAAAGGCTTCCCCTATTACTTGTAAGATAAGATATAAAGTCCTCTGTTTAGCATTTGATTCTTTTTATAGTCTGGCCACTTCCTATCTTGTCTCTCCAGCTTACTTCCAGACTCAGCTCAAATGCTGCCTTCTGTTTGAAGCCTTTCCCAGTACCCCCAGATGCTAGCACCTTTCCCTCTAAAGTTACCTTCTATCTATTCAGTATGTATCTTGTAGATTACAATTAT